TTAAATGTGAGAATGAAAGTGAAAGTCAGTATAAAAGTCAATGTCGATGTCAAAATGAAATTACATAATTGCACCCCAGAACCGATACATTTTTCGGCGACAGTTTACTTCAGACAGTTCTCTGTATTTCGGTTTTCTGTACTTTAATATTTGTCCTACCAGTAATGGATTCGTTTATTTATTTCGAAATTGTCAAAAGCCTAAATGTCAAAATTAACAATAATATGGCATGGTCCATAGGATGGGTGGTATGGTCCATGTCAAAAATTCTCACAATGTCGTAAAATCACTAATGGTAGATGTGCCTCTTCAAGGAAACAATATTTTAACTACCCAACCTTCATGAAAACGATATATTAACCAATCAAATTTAATGAAATCAACCAATAATGCACACTTGAAGTTAGCTGCAGTCTCGAGTTTGCTGCGTTCGCCCTCGATTACCACTCGTGCTACAAACGCCAACTTAAACAATGACTACTTTTGGACCCTTGTTGCTTAATATGCTATTTTTAAAAATTTCAAATTTTTAAGCCACGGTTCTGACCGTCAAAAGGAAATCAAAACCTGAGGCTACGATTTATCTGCGGTTGAAAGCATAATCAATTTTGAAAAAAATATAAAATGAGAAAACCACGGTTTTGACCTTAAGGGAGCACTCGCAGTTGTAGCGCCAAAAATAGACATGTCATGAATTTTTTTCTCGTAAAGCATTAAATTTTTTCAAAATATCGATTTAATTTATAAAAGTACATAATTTAAACTTGAAATAAAAAAAAAATAAAAATATTAAATAGTTCCAAAATTATGTCCTATCGAAGTGACGTCCTTTCGAAAAACATGGTTTGCAACAAGAACAAATATTTTACAAAATGTCGACCTGTCAAAGTTAAACGTTTGATTTTCGTAAAAAAAAGCGATCGTTTTTCAGCTGTAAAAAGAAAACTTTTGTATAAAAAATCTAAATCTTAACCATCGATTAAAGACTAGATTATTATGTATTGAAAAAGTATGATAAATTTCATGACAATCGGTTCAGTAGTTTTCAAGTAAGAGTGGTCACCGACTTCAAAAATGTATTTTTGAAAAAAATGTGTTTAAAGTTTTAACTTACATTTACATGAAGATAAAGTTTTTTTTGGAAATTAGATAGAATCATCAATTCTGCAGATGAAGCTGCTTTCAAAATCCCAATTCAAATATAAAAGTATAAAAACCCACACGGCCGTTAGCCTGTTCTCGACCGACCTGACTCTCCTTACTTTCGGCTTGTATATTTCATTCAATTTTCACCAGATCATCTTAAAATTTTGTAGACATATTTCTGACCATATATACTTTAAGAAATTGCAAGAAAAAAAATTGATTTTTCGAAAGTTACAACTGCGACTACCCCCTTAAAAAAGATATGAAAATTGATGCCTGCCCAGTGGGCAAAAAATCATGTTCGTTTTAAAAACGTTTTCAGAACGTATCATGTCTGCTAAATAATGTTTTGAAACATTTTACGAACACAGATGCTCAGATAATGTTCTAGAACATTATTTGGCAAACATGAAACGTTTTAAAATCGTTCCTTAATGTTTTTAAAACGAACATGGTTTTTTGCCTACTGGGAGGGTATTCCCGAGGTTGTTAAGGTTTTAACTTTTTCGAGAAAAATTGCAAAGTCCGAAAGCCACGGTTTTGACTATAAAATGACTTCGAAAAGTGACGCCAGGGTTTTCCGGGGGTTGTTACGGTCTTAACTTTTTGAAGAAATATTGCAAAGTTTGAAAGCCTCGGTCATGTTTTTTTTAAATTCAATCTGAGAAAGTCAGGGTTTTTACCGTAAAAAGGCTGCAAAAGGTGATGCCAGGGTATTGCCAGTCCCTAGGAAATGTTCATAAGCAAAAGTGATACCATTGTTTGCATTATTTCTTGAGCTAGGGTTTTAAACAGATTTATAATGCCTCTTTGACGCCTTTTTCCAGGCTTGACTATTTCTACGCAGGGGTTTTAAAACAAAAATCATCAGATCATATCTTCAACTAAATTAATTTTTTTTTATTTTTAACTATAATAAAACCTATCTGAGATAAAACAGAAACTCGAATATTTCGGATTGTTATATGTTTAGTGCAATTTAATATTTTTATCATTTCAATTCTTTAGGGGAGGATAGGGTAAGGATAGTTAGGTAAGACATTTTTGGATCTAGTAGCTAAAATTCAACAGGCATCGGAAAAAGAATAGTATCGTTCGAAAGCCTGTTTATTTAGCTACAATTTTGTAATACATTATTTTGCTGTGGATTGCAATGCCTTCGAGATATTAGCGGAAAATTAAAAAAAAAATTTAACTATCCTTGCCCCACTATTGGGGCAAGGATAGTTATCAAAATTCTTTTTACGAAAAATAATCAAAAAAAGACATTAAATTTAGGGGTTTTTTAATTTCATTGGATAAAAGCACCTCAAAACACTTCAAAGCACTACCAAAAAAATTTTTTGGACATAAATAAATATTTAAAACAGTTAATATCTGAAACAGTGTTTTAAACGGAACTGAGACATTTTAGAAAAAACAGGATTTTTACAAATAAACACGTAGCTTCCACAAATGATATCGCATCAAGATCAAATTTTTCTTGACGTCTTTTGGTGTTAAAACAAGTATATATGAAGAATACACTGAAAGAAAATTCATACTACTAAGTATTAAACTCATATTAGAGTTTAATATAAATGTTACAATTTAGGGAAAAAGTGCACCTATATTGATTACTATTACAGTTTTTATGAAAATATATAATGAATTTAAGAGTAACTATTATTTTAAGAAATAAGAATTAGTATATTTATTTTAAAAATTAGTATTTTCTTTATGAATTCACAGAATACGAAATATTATAATAAATAATTTCACAAAATAGTAAGAAAAATAACATATATCCGTATACTTATTTCACATTTTGTAAAACTTTATATTAAAAGTCACGGATTTTCCCGAGAGACTACGAATTTAACCGAAGTTCTGTCTGTTTGCGGCTTCGTGTCCTACTCGAACTTCTACGACTTGATCCGATTTTCGAAAGTGTTGTTAACCAGCAGAGCGTACCTATCAACTGTCAACACACGTGTTTCAAATGTTTATAGTGTTTTAAATTCTTTTTAATTTAAATTTATTTTCAATTTATAAAAAATGTTTTATTAAAGTTATTTAATAATAATAAATTTATTATTAATTATTAAATTTATTATTATTTTTATTAATTTTTATTTTTTGATGTCATCTTTACAATTATTTAATTTTTATTTGCAATAAAAATTTTTATAACAATCATAATTTTTAATCTGAAAAAAAAGAAAAATCTATATAAACAATTAATAATAAAAATGAACCCAGCGTAACCTCTATAAAATTACACCATTGGCACTAGTAAACTATTTTTTATTATTAAGTTATTATAAGTAAACTTCTTTCTCGCAAGTGTTAAAAATATTCAGTAGTTAGTATATAAGAAAACGATATATGCCGACCCCCAGCGAAATTTATCGTTATGCGTATAGAATTGTAAGTGTAGGTTTCGTTGCGATCGTGTAATGTCTATGTATAAGCGAAATGAACGTGCGTGTTCATTAGTATGTGTATTAACCTGTATCGTAAGTGTGAATGTGTTGTTCCTAGTCTCACTCCTCTTCCTCCCGAGAATTAACGGAAACGTCCGACAGTTTCCGCTTTTTTTCCCTTTTCTTCCGACATTCTGAATTTTTCGTATAAAGTTTTACAAATATTAGAACGCTACATTCCATATAATGCAACAACGCTATGAGAATTTAATATAATATTTTCAAATATTGGTAATCTTTTTACGTTCTTTCTACAATAATTATTAATATTTGAAAAAAGATTTTAAGTTGGAACTTTAATATAAAGTATATTGAATTTTAATAAAAAGTACACTTTTCCCTAAATTCTAAAAGAATATATTAAAATGTAATACGCATTTTGTTATTTTTTCCTATGAAATTTCTTTCAGTGTAGTGCCCTTTTTGAAGAAGCCGTATAGGCAATAGAGCCACTAACTATCCTTGCCCCTTAACTATCCTTGCCCCATCCTCCCCTACCACATACAGGATAATGATTTTTATGGCTCAGATTCCAATAATCAAGATCGCAGATAAATAAAATTCTGTTATAGTAGAATATTTCAAAGAGAAGTTTTTCATATTATAAAAAACGTTCAAATTTATACACCTCTTTCGAAACTGCACCGAAAATGTCAATAGCAGTTTACTTTGACATTTTTGTGAAACTTGGTTATTGCAAACCACTGTATAAGATGTAGTAAATTGTGATGTTATGTTACTTCTAAATCGTCCCAAGAAGCACGTAATATAACCTCAATATCAAGGTAATATTACATGTAGGATTCGTAATATAACGTTGTAATATTACAGTTATCTTACAGTGATCTTAAAATGTCCGCCTCAAGGTAATATTACCGGTAATGTTACTGTAATATTACGCGCTAATATTAAGGTAATATTACAGTAATATTGCAGTAATATTATACCGTAATATTAAGGTAATATTACAAGAGAATATTACAGTAATATTATGGGAACATTTCATTACGAAAAAAATCTACCCATCCAGGGAATCGAACCCCGAACTCAAAGCACACGAGTCCAGAGTTTTACCAACAAGCCAAATTGACTTATAATATATTTACGTTTTTTATGCTTTATGAATAACACAAATCAGTCTGTAATATTACTGTAATATTACTGTAATATTACGGTTAATATTATAGTAATATTCCCGGTAATATTACCTTGAGGCGGACATTTTAAGATCACTGTAAGATTACTGTAATATTACAGCGTTATATTACGAATCTCACGTGTAATATTACCTTGATATTGAGGATATATTACGTGCTTCTTGGGGTATCATTGCCAAGGATATATGTAATGGAATATGATCACAGGTATTGGATCTTGCAAACAATATTTTACATTGCAATGTTCTTACATGTGATAAGTCAAGAGACATTATATTTATACATCAAATTACATTATATTTTTAAGATATTTATCCGTGTTTATATAAGCGACGATTTACGATTAAATTAGCATTTTTATAAAAACAAATAAAAGTCAAGGATAAACTTTTTCAAAAATGGGCTTAGACATTTGTAAATACATATTTAACAATTAATAATTGTATATATCATATTCTCGAGTTAAATCTTGGGAATCGTCAATTGTATACTTACAAAAACAACAATTTATTTTAATGGTTACGAATTATGTTTATAACTAATACATTTAAGTTATTATACATTATATTATACATTACAACCAACAATAAAAATAATTACAATTTTCGTAATTTCACACTTATTTTCCTTCCTACAATTAAAATATTATTGTATAACAAAATACTGGAACACCGCGATCAATCTTGTATATATCCATAAATTATTGACACTAGTTAAAATTAATAAATGTCTACTTTCTCAATTTGAAGTAAAATATAACCGTGGCAACTCCAACTATTACAAATCCAAGACATGCACCTAATACTATTGTAGTAATTAATAGAATATTGTTTTCTTCTTCCTCATTAAAAGCACTAATTTTTAATACGTCAGTAAAGCTAGAGATTCCACCAGCATTCAAAACTCTGAAACAATTACAAAAATTTTAAAAAGAAGATTGAATAGAAGCTCCTAAGATGGCTAGTACTATAAGATAAATAACTTGTATAAGGTGCCTAGGTGAAAATGTTCATGTGGAAGTACACTATACCGTCGGAGATTATGTGACCTCTTCTTTTTCGATAACCATAAAACGGCTTAACCCTTTAAGGACGAGAAGGATAGATTTCATAATCAACTTTCACTGACGTATTACTGTGCAAGAAAAATTTAAAAAAATTTCGAAGTACTGTCCCTTATGTATTCAAGGTCGTTGTTTCAGAATCCATAATCGAAATTGAAAAAAAATAAAAAAGATATAGCCATGTTTGTAAAAAAAAGCTATGTTAAATTTTTTTTTTGAAAATAATTGTTTTTAAAGTTATTAGGTATTAAGAAATGCTTGAAACCTTTAGATATCGTATTCTAAATGTTCAAACATAAAAATGGAACAAAATATTTTTTTAAAATTAAAGATGGCGTACCAAAAATAGTGTCCAAAACCAACATTTTTTTTCAAAATCATGACCTAGTGTACAAAATTTTCAAAAATGCTCAAATTTCAGGCTTATTTCATTAGATTTTCAAGAAGTTATCCGCCATTTTGAAAAAGTAACGTAGGATTCGTAATCAGCGACCACAAAAACCTCCGAGTAACAAGTTTCAAGCAAATTTGAGCATTTTTGAAAATTTTGTACACCAGGTCATGATTTTGGAAAAAATTTTGGTTTTGGACACCATTTTTGGTACGCCATCTTCAGCTTAAAAAAAAATCTTTTGCTCCATATTCATGTACGAACATTTAGGATACGATATCTAAAGGTTTCAAGCATTTCTTAATACCTAATAACTTTGAAAAAAATTATTTTCAAAAAATAAATTTTTTACACAGCTTTTTTTACAAACATGGCTATATCTTTTTTATTTTTTTTCAATTTCGATTACGGGTTCTGAAACAGCGTCCTTAAATACATAAATATTTCATACTTCGAAATTTTTTAAAAAGTTTTCTTGCAGAGAAATACGTTAATGAAAATCGATTATGAAATGTGTCCTTCCCGTCCTTAAAGGGTTAAATCTTAAAAATATTAAAAAATCTGAAGTTAGATTTCAAAAAATGTAAAAATTTAAAATTGCGTTTTTCTTGAAATGACATTTTTGACGTCCGTGTTCACGATATCTCAAAATCTACTAAACCAATCATTTTGAAATTTGGCTCAGTACTTTTTGACTTACTTCCCCAGGTAACTACGAGAGTTTTTTTTTAATAATTATTAATTATACAGTAAAACATAAATCGATTTTTTCAGCGAAAATCGAGTTTTCGAGTTTCAAGTGCTGCGAAAAATAAAAAAAAACCTCTCGTAGTTACCTCGAAAAACATCTCCTTTTACAAAAAATTTTTTTTTTTGGATTTAGATGTTTCTGTTGCGAGTTACGTTGAACACTGCAAATCCTTTTTTTCACGAGGCGACTAAAGAAATTTTCTGCCACTCGTTCAATTTGCAATATTTTTCAATGAGAATTTAGGAAAATATACTTCAGATATTGTATTAATATGTGTAAATAAAGTTAATAAAGTAACACACTTTATACCACCGCAAAAAAATATTAAAAAAGTGACTTTTTTACACCGAAATAACCATACCCCCCTTTAACCGTAACACATATATGTGACGTTCCACGAGAAAAAGGACCTAACGCGACAAAAGAGAATTTTACTGGAAAGGCATTTAAAGTCAAAAGTTCTCATTGGCTGAGACGCGCCAGCGAAAATCATCCTCACCACCTCACTACTACATCATTCCAATCGTATATCCATGAGCATTGCTGGCTTCGTGCAACTTCGGCTCCTTACTACTACATATAATATATTACATATAATATGTCTTATTTAAACCTATAGCACTTAAGCTTACCGCGCTATATTGCCAACCTTGCACGGCAAACTTGGCGCAAGCCTAATCAAATCTTCAAATGTCCTACCTGACCGGAAGATTGCATGGTAAGGTTACCGAATGATTGCACAATAATCAACAAGATCAGTAGGACCCATTTAGGTCTAATTTAATAGAGAAATTTAAGGCCCTTCACCTTTTTATAAAACCTTTGTTACTGCCAGCTTGACGCCAAGCTAGAATCACCATACCACTACAACTTAATTTTTTCCAAATGTAAATCCACAGGAATTTAGGGCTCTTAAAATCCATCAAAATTACTTTTCACAAAACCACCCCTATATCTGAAAACTACCCCCTTAAAATGAAATTCCAATATTTTCATCCCTGGCGGATTTGATTTACCCAATGGATATTGGGATATTGTTCAAAAAACATTTTGTAATCGAGAGATGGACACCTTAAGAGTCCACTTCTACATTGTTTATGTTAAATTAATTGAGAATTATTTAATAATTAACAATAAAAAGTAAAATTTGTCAAATCTGTCACATTAGATATGCACGATACCTATAGCAAATTGCGTTTCAATTCCGAAAAGCGGAATGCGCCAAGATTTAAAATGAGTTACAAATCTTAAACATTCAACAGATAGAAAATATGCAATTTTTTTCTTTCTTTCTAAAAAAACTTTAGAATTTTTTTTTAAATTCAGCTGATATTTTTCATAAATTTTTACTTATAACTTTTTAAAAAATTCTGAAATAGAAGATCAAAAAATGTAGTTATACTTGTATTTTGACATCATCATTTTCAACAAAAATACAATTTTTTGGACATAAAAATAAAGAAAAAATTAAGATTAAAATTTATTTAACAATTACAATTTTTTAACAAATTTTTTTTTCTTTTAAAAAAAAGTTGCAGAATTTTTATTTCATATTCACAATTCTTTAATGAAATTGTGTTTTTTAGGTAATATGTTGTAGAAAATTAATAATTTATTTATACTAATGATAATAATCACTAATTTTAAGTAATATGACAGCTGCAACTTTGTGCTCCCTGCATTCTGCTGCCATCTAATGGCGTCTAGAATTCATATAGAGCGATAATTATAGGTAAAGAAATAGTGACTATTAGTATTAATATAAATGAATTGGTAAAAATAAATTAATTATTATGTATTTTAAAAAAACAAAATTAAGGGGTTAGTACCACATCTTAGCAACTTTGCTTAAATATTTTTTTTTATTACAAAAATTTATTTAATTTACTTTAAACTTTTTATACTTAAAAAAGGGGTTTTAAACTATTAGAAAAAATATATTTCTTATTTTTTATGATTATCTTGCTGTCATGGCCGCCTTAAAATAGGCTTACTTGTGATTGGCGGACACTATATCTCCAATTCAGGTCATCGAAAAATAAAATTTTTGATATTTTCTTGAAAAGTAAGCTCGTCGCTATCATCGGAACTGCAATCAACTATTTTCGATGAAAAAAACAAAATGGCAGACTTTTTTATTTTTGACCTTGTTTTTTCAACTTAAATTGTTTAAAAAAATGGTTGAATATTAATGAAAAATTATGATTGTAGTTCCGACGATAGCGGTATATGTGTTGTGACGATCTTTTCGCGAGATTTTATTTTCAATAATAAAACATTGATCGCAGGTACGACTCGCGGAGGAAGCACAAGAACGAGCGAAATCACCACAAATCAATATGTGAAGAATCAATACCAGCGATGAGAAAATTCAATAGCGGCTACAAGTCATCATTTCATGTATCGACAGGCGAAGCACCATTATAAAATTTGGTCAAACTTACGCGATGAGTTGATTATTTTGTAGAAGATAATCGCTGATTGATTCTCCTTTATTGCTAAATGAAGTAATTTGGTGGTACAACACAAATTATTTTGATTACATAAAATACTTCAATTTTAGTGTTCAATTTAACAAATAATATAAATATCGCGTGTAATATAAAACCTTTTGAAAATAATTCAAGACGCGATGAATCTATTACAAAGGCTAAATCCTCTCTGAGCAGTTTTCGCTACAAGCGGCGAGGCGTGCGTTTGTCGACTGCTACGTGACTTACGCACCAGTTTGAATTTGGCAAACTATCAAGAGTCTGCAAAATTCAATTTGAATGAGACAATAATACTAGGAGGGAAAACCATCAACAACAACATTTAATTAATAAAAATTCCAAAAATGACTTAGGTCCTTAAAACTCCCCCTCTCTAAACTGTTGTTGATGGTCGCTTTTTCAAGCTTGACCAATCGTCTTCAGGACGCGATGATCCTACCGGTCGATATTTTTAAGATAGAAAATAATAATTAAATCAACTTAGAAACAGTGAATGTTATAGATATATTAGAAATGTTAACTTGTAAACATTCAGTAATCTTCAAAAAAAATTTTTTTTTTGATCAATTATAAATAAACGCTAAATAATTAAGAGGATGGTTACTATATATTCTTCTTTATTAATAATCTTATATACGCATTCGCGCAATCGAACAACGCTCTATACAATTTGAGGTAGTATCGTTATTAACGCTAAATAGAAAGTGAATACATAAAAAAATATTTTTTTTGACTTACGGAATAATCGCTTCGAAATTCGCACAACGGTGCGGAAATAATATAAATGATTAATTTTATTTAGATTTTTTTAGTGTATCTTTGAATACACAGGCACACAAAAAATAAAAAGCTGTTTGGCCGAGACACTACACTAGTCTATTTCCATGTATTTTTTCACGCTGAATCCGAATCCGAAGTCAGAATTATCAGATTGGCTTTTATTTTTGAGATAAACTCAAAAAACTGCTTAGAATGAAAAATAAAATCAAAAAGTTAAAAAAATTTTGAATGTCACTGCGATAGTGTAATTCCATGTATTTTTGGTCGCTGAATCCGAATCCAAAGTCAGAATTGTTAGATTGTCTCAAATTTTTGAGATAATTGCAAAAAAACGCAAGTAACAAAAAACTCAAAATACTCAAAATCAGTTTTCTGGAAATATCTTCAAAATTTGAGCCAACCTGTCAATTCTGACTTCGAATTCGGAT